AGAAACTGATGTAAATTATGGGATTCTTATATGGTCTTAGAGAATCCCCTGAGAAAACACTTACTGATTTTTAAGAAATCAGCGGTAATTGGGAGGTATGGAGTTTCATGTTGGTGTGATGGAAATGCATTGGGATTAGATCGTGGCGATGGCTGCACAGCATTACTGATACACTCATAACCACTGTATTGTTTATTTTAAAATGGCCAGTTTGGGGCTGGGGTTGTGGCTCAGTGGTAGAGCACTCGCTTAGCATGTGCAAGGCCCTGGGTTCGATCCTCAGCACCACATAAAAAAAAACACAAAACAAGTAAAATAAAGATATTAAAAAAATAAAATGGCCAGTTTTATGATAAGTGAACTTATCTTTGGAAAAAATAAAAATCAATTTAACAAAAAGAAGTTGTTGGCGACTCAAGGGCTGGCGAAGCAAAAGCCAACAGATGGAGTCAGCTGAACAAGGTCTCTTGGAGGAGCTCTGTGCACTGAGCTGAGCCCTCTGAAGGTGGCGCCACCTGGCTGTTGCTGGTACCTCTGAGGGGTGGGATGAGGCTGGATCCGGGGCTGGTGAAAGCTGGAGTCAACGTGCTGCTGGAGCAGTGCTGCTCTGGGAGACACAGGAAATGGAGAGAACTGGAAGGAGGGTGCTCTTCCCACCCTCCCATCACGCTCTACTTCTCGCTCCTACTTCTGTAGGCAGTATTCATGGGGAGCCTGGGAATGCCCTGGGGAGGCTTGGCATATCAAAGGCAGGGGGTAGGAAGGTGGATTTGGAGCCAGAGAGTAGATAAATAACTGACTCACAGGAAAGCAGGGATAATAAAACAGCTCATATTTGGGAAGGGGTTGATTCTTCTCTCATATAATTTTGTTTTTCTCAAGAGTGCTTTGTTGTCTCTTAAAACGTTGCTTACTTTTGAAGAACTTTTATGAATACTTTTACAAATCAGAAACAAAAATTTTACCATCCCTTTCTGTGTGCTCATTCTACTTTTGAAAAATATCCTCATTCCTTCTACTGCTCCCACCTACTCAGTCTTTAATAGAATGGGGGGATTTCTGCAGCCTAACACATATGCTTCCCACCTTGGTGGCTTTGCTCCGACCACTACATCTCAACTGGAGGTTGTTCTTCCCTCCTCTCTAGCTGAGTTCAATTCTTCTTCCATTATGAAGCCCTTCTGCCATATCAATCCATAAGAACCTTTCCTCTCCTGCTTCCTGATTCCTGAGCCATACTTGAACACTTATTTATTGCCTCAAGTTATCAGTTTAATTTTCATACATGTATATCTCACCTCCACATATTATATCTGTTTCTTCACATGCCTGAGACTGTGTGAGGGCTCCACTCTTCTCCTCAATTTCTGTGAGATCAATTTTTTTTAGATTCTGCATTTGAGTGAGATCATGTGGTACTCATCTTTCTATGTCTGGCTTATTTCATTTAGCATAACAATCTCCAATGCTATCCATGTTGTTACAGATAACAGGATCTCATCGTTTTTATGGTTGAATATTATTCCATCATGCATATGGGCTACATTTTCTTTATTCAGTTATTTGTTGGTGAACTCTTAGGTTGTTTCCCACCTAGGTGGCTACTGTGAACACTGCTATAGTGAACATAGGGTGCAGATGTCTCTTTGACATATGGATTTCATTTCCTTTGACTATATACCCAAGTGGGATTGCCAGATCATATGGTAGCTCTATTTTTAATTTTTAAAGGGGCCTCTGTTTTTTTTCCATAAAGGCTATACTAATTTATATTCCCACCAGCAGTGTGCAAGGGTTCTCCTTCTTCACATCATTTTCAGAACATGTTACCTTTGTCAGTTTGATCACTGCCATTTTCCCTGGATGACGTGATATCTCATTGTGGATTTGGATTTGCATTTCCCTGGTGATTACTGGTGTTGAACATTTTTTTCCAACACCTGTTTGTCATTGTATGTCTCCTTTTGATAAATGCCTATGAAGGTCTAGTGCCCATTTTTAAAAAATTGGGTTATTTTTGTGCTGTTGAGTTTTTTCAGTTCCTATATATTCTGGATATTAACCCCTTGTCAGAAATATAGTTTATCAATGTTTTCTCCCCTGTCCTTTTTTGAAGTCTCTGATGCCATTGACCATGGCATGTTAGTTAGGTGCTATCCCAGCACCTTCATGTTCCTTACCTGGGAGCTCTCTCTTCATTATCATTTCCATCTCTTATTTTGATTTGTATAATTGTTTTCTCTCTGGGACCCTCAAACTGGAAGATTATCAACCTGTATATTTTTAAGAAAGCAAGCAGCTACAACATACAGTGTCTTTTGGGGCTCCACAAAAGACACCGGGGAATGATAGAGACTGAGGGCAACTGAAATGCCCGTACCCTATAAAAAAATCAAATTTTGTGAAAGAACACTGTGTGGGCCAAACAAAAGCCCTCACAGACCAAATGGCCAGTTTAAAACCTTTCAAGTCTAGATTTAAAGACGAGAAAATGTGTTCATTTCTATACTTACAGCAGAAGTTGTCATTGATTTCTCTTTCCAAGGCTCTGACTTTGGATGGCAATAACAAAATTTTTCTAGAATCAAGTAAGTTTGACATTTTCAGCACTTGGTGTAAAGGAACAGCTTAAGGAACAGCCTTAAGTTTTCCCCATGATTTCCTTCGTTTTTCCTAAGAACATATGTTATCATCTTGTGAAAATAGCACCCCACAGAACATTTGTAGAGAGATATTATTCCATGGAAAATGTAGCAGAATTTATCAACAAAGATGATGACTGGTGAAAATATGCACACACATACACGCAGGCACCATCCAAAATCTTAAGTTGTCGAGGACCAAATGTTGCGACAACTTCTGTCATCTTGCTAAGATTGCCTGCCTTTACCTCCATATGTTTCCTCTATCACCATTGCGCGTAGCTTCTCTGTTTAATCTCACCACTCCCTGTCTCCAGTCTAAATTTTTAAAAGTAATCATCAAGTTCTGTATCCCGTGGTAGGGTGTAAAAAACAACCCCCAAGCTTCCTTTTCTCCATAGTTCTTTGGTAATGAACTTTTGTCATTTGTATTGATTTTTTCCCCTTCCTTTCTGAAATCCTTTCTGAATTTGAAATATTGCTCATTTTTTTGGAAAGATTTCTTCCATACTTAAGTTTAAGATTCATTCATTACTTATGCAACAAATTATTACTGAGCGCCTAACATGAGCTGAGTATGATCAATGCACTGGGGATACAGCTAGGAACGGAAGAGATGAGGATCCTGCTCCCGTGGGAGGAACACTTTAGTGATGAGGAGAGAAGGCCATTGAGCAGAAAAGTAGTAAAACATGCAGGTGTCAGCTCTTGATGCCTGTCAAGGAGAAACATGAAACAGGGAAATAGGTCAGGAATTGTGTGTGGGACAGAACAGCTGTGATGGCTAGTTTTCTGTGTCATCTTGGCCAGGCTAGTGATTTAATCACACAGTACCTAGGTGTTGTAGTAAAGGTATTTTGTAGATGTGATGAACATCTATAATTAGGCTTTAAGTAAAGCAGGCGACCCCTCATCTAGTCAGCTAAAGGCTTTAAGAGCAAAGACAGAAGTTTCACAAAGAAGAAATTCTGCCCTAAGACTGAAGCAACTCTCATCTGATTCAATGTTTGAGGCTGCCCTACAGATTTCAGACTTGCCAGCTTCCACAGTCCCATGAACAGATTCCTCCCAAACCAATCATATTATATATATGTATATGCAAATATATGTGCGGGTGCGCACACACACACACACACACACATACACCCTGTTTGTTCTGTTTCTCTGGAGAGCCCTGAGTGACTCAGTGACAATTTTGGATTCAGAGACTTTTGGACATTCAGCTTGTTAATTTCAACTGTGCTCAAATGTCACATTCTCTTCGAGGCCTGTTCTGATCCTACCCTATCAAAAATGAAAATTCATCATCTCCCATTCCATATCCCTGATCCCCTGACCCCACTCTGGTTTTCCCATAGCAATGTCACTTTTCACATACTGTGTTACTATTTATTTGATTTTAGTTTTTATCTCCCTCCTCTACAAAATAAACTTCATGATGGCAGGTGTCACAGGACAAGTTCCTGGGAACAAAACTCTGAACTAAGATTTGTGTGCAGAAACCTTATGGTGTCTGTGGGGGAGGGGGATGTTCTCAGGGACAGCAGCCACTAGAGAGTGAGGACAGTATGCTGGGCAAGAAAGGAGTGGACCTGTGATGTGGATGCAATGGGGAGTCTCAGCTTATTCCCAGGAGAGCTTGGAAGCTAAGTCACTGCTTCAAGGATGTCCTGGGGTTAGTGAGACACAGGGAGCTGGGCCTTGTATTCTGGTCCTTGGATGCAGTCTGTCTATAGGAAGCGCATTTCCTTGGGGACAAGCTCCTTTTGGTGTAGACAAGTCCCAGGGAAGACACTCAGCAATGAGTCATCAGCCAGAGACACTCCTGCCAGCTGGGGAAGAGCAGCTTGGTCCTGCACCGGGCAATAGTTATCTTTATTTGATGACTGCGGTGTATGGCCAGTTCCCAGAGCAAGGCCAGGAAGGTTGAATGGATGGGTGTAAAAATGAACAAATGAATAAATGAATGAATGAATTCTCTTTACACAGGTCAGCATGCACAAAGAGGATGTGGCCACTGTTCTCAGTGGATGTCAGGGAGACAAAAGTGTAGAAATAGAAAACAGACCAATGTGATCGCAAAAGCAAGTCTTTAAGGTTTAAAGACAAAAGGGGATACTTGGGAGAATGGGCTGTTCCAGGGAGTGGCAAGATTGGATACAGCCCTGAATAAATGGATATTTCTGCAAGTTTCCAAGTCTTACACATAGATCTTGGGCCATTGTAAAGCCAAGGAGCACTATTACAGGCCTGATGGGGGCCCAGGGTTAAAGAAAGCATCCTCCTAAACAAGGAACAACTGGCTTTCGTGACAGAACTTTTAACAAGCCTTTTCTCATATTTGTTGACTCAACGCAGGCCAGAGAATTCTTTGAGAGGCAACATGGCTATAAATCAGCAAGTCCTGTGAACGTGCATTCCAGGGTCTTGGAGGAAAAGCCTGCACACAAAAGCACCTCTTCTGAGTCTTCAGGAATGCTGTGGTGAGTGGCCTTGGAGGTCTCGGGGTTAGACTCTGGGGCTGGGAATGGAAAGCATCCAGAAGAGGGGCGTAGGGAAGCTGTAGCAAGAGCAGTGCAGTCTGTTTCTAGTAACAACGTTGGGCATTCAGCCCCCAGGACAGTGCCTAGCAGATACTAAGCACTCAATGAATATCTAGTGAATGACAACTGAATTGTTGTCAGGTCTAGTTTTATCATGCACTGACTGTCTGACCTTGAGAAAGTCTCTGTGCTTCTCTGAGCCTTGACCATGCTGTCGTCTGTGTAAAAATGTTGAGTTTAAACACAAAAATAGAAGCTTGGGAATGAATGACTGGCGAGACCCCGAATTAAAAAAAAAAAAAATTCAAAGCCATGTCTGAAGCAGTGAAGAGAGAAATGCAGAAAGCCTGCATGGCAGAGAGAGCTCTCTGGCTTCCTGCACCAGTTTGAGCTCTGGCTATACACCAGGCCTGCTAAGGGAGGTGAGCTATTCCTGCATGGCTGCTATGCCCCATGGAATTTGCAGGGGAGTAGCAGGATGCTGTGGTGCAGGGGAAATGCCTCTCCCACAGCTGCCTTGATACCAACAGTTCTCCCTCTGGGAAAGCCTGACACCTAATTGAGAAACCAGAGAAATGGAAGCTGCAGCTTGCATTCCACTTAGGGCAGAGCATCCAGACCTGGGGCAGGCAGAATGGCAGTCAGCTTCAGCCAATTGCCTGTTTAATTCCAGGGCTTGCTGTGGTGCAAAGAATAACGGGCTCCCACTCAGGGTAGGACAGTCAAGTTCTAGCTTGTCTTAACATCTGCAAGTTTGGCAAGGGACTGAGTTTCTCTGACTCTGTACAATGGGAGTGACCACATGGACATCACAGGTATGATCAAAGAAGAGATTTATATTCAACCAGTATGGTGTTTCCCTCTCTCCTGCTTTCCTTTCCTCCTTCACCCCTTCCCTTCCCTCCTGGGCCAGTCAGCCTAGCTAGTTGGAACAGATCACAAGCAAAGCCTACAGTCACATGAGCTTGCCCAGTAGGACCTGAGTCCTGGCAGATTGGTAAGTTGTGCACCCAGACCTTCTTGTCACAGAGCAAAGGTGGTTTGCCACTGACCAGTGTCTCTGTGGAGAGATACTATTTATTCAGCAAAAAAATGCCGAGCATTTTTAATCCCTGACTCATCTGGAAGAAGAATTTGGCAAAATGGGGAAGAGTTGGTTGGGGATTAATGGAAATAAAACAGAGAGGCAGGAATGTAATTATGAGGGTGAGATTCTGCTGGGAGTGCAGAGAAAGGGGAGGGGAGGTAGTTTTTTCCCTTGGAAGATCTGACATGAGGACCCCAATTTCCCCTGAAGAAGAGAGGAGCTAGGTGGACTGTGGGGTCTAGGTCTCTCTCTTGGAGTTTCACCATATGCTGAAGGAGGGGTTCCAGATTCCTCGGCTGTGAGTCCCTGCAGAGCACTGACATCAGGGACAGGGGCCTGATGTAGGAAGCATTTCTTTCTTTCTTTCTTTCTTTCTTTCTTTCTTTCTTTCTTTCTTTCTTTCCTTTCTTTCTCTATTTCTTTCTTTCTTTCCTCCCTCCCTTCTGTCTTCTTTCTTTTTTTTTTTTACTTAAATTTAAGTGCTTACATTCAAATCGGTTGAAATTGAGACCCACATGATGGCCAGGCCCAAGAGCGGGACTCCCCATTTCTCCAGGTGTTGCCTTTTGGCCATCCGTCCATTAGCAGCTTCACCACAGCTCTTTCTTCTTGGCCTGAGACCTAGGATGGATGACAAGGGCTACCTGGTTCTTCCCTGCAGCATCAGCCCTCTGTGAGCTAAGCTGGCTCAGGGGACACTTGACTTTTCCTGGGAGTAGGAGATGGTGTCCTCTGTGGTCCATTTGCTCTCTGCTTAGACTTGTTGTCTCCTAGCTCTTCATCTTTCTTTTCCTTCCTTCCCCCATCACAGTGTCTTGCCATTGTTTCCTCTCCCCCTCTCCATAAAGCTGTTGTCCATCTCACCTCCCTGCCTCCTTCCCTTTCTGAGATCCTTGCCTCCTCCTCCAAGTCTTTTACTGTTTACCATGGGAATTTCCTCCCCTGCAGTGCCATGAGATGCTGTTAATACCAGCTCATACTCCAGTAGGCCCAGCAAGTGGCCCTGGGAAAGTGGACAAGGCTATAGTCCTGAAAACTGAATAGGTCTAGAGGGGCAAAAGGGGCACTAACTGCCCTACCTGTGTATCAAGGAATTTATATGCAATAGGTATTAAAACATCTTCTCAGATACTGCTTCCATTTTATGGAAGAGCAAATCAAAGCTCAAAGAAGTCAAGTGCCCAAGCTGAGGTGTCAGTTGGCAAACGGCGGCATACTGTACCCCAGGTCTGCCTGACCACAGCCCATGCTCATCTCTACACTCTGCTTCTCGCTGACCCTGCAGTCATCTTTGCATCCACCCCTGGCTAATAATTCCATATTCATTCTCAGGAAAATCTGATGTGTTGGGTTGAAATTTAATCATGGCTATTTATAAATTATAGTTGGAGAAGCAGAAATAAATGGGTCAAGATGATTTGTAGGATGACCATGAGAGACAAGCTCTGATAATGTGACCTGAGTTGAAAGATGCTAAGTCTGTGTGTGTGTGTGTGTGTGTGTGTGTGTGTGTGTTGTGCTTGGGGGGGGCTGGGGGAGGAGAGAGAGAGAAGGAGGGAGAGATATTGAGAGAGAAAGAGAAGGTCCTGAATACTGACTGGGACAAGGTGAGAAAGCAATTCAGAAAATTATTTCACTGAACAGAAAGACCCTGATCTGGGAGGAATCCTGTTGCTCAGGATCAGGAAAATATTAAACTATTCTCAGCTGGTGTTTTTTTTTTAATAAAGAAATACTGCATATAATCAATCACTTGTAAGACGTGTATAAATAAGTTGTCTTTAAACAGAAACATATAGAATAAGGTCATGTGCTGAATGGTTGATGACAATGTTATGATCGGAGAACTGCTGGAACCTGTCCCTGTCTTCCCCTAGAAGGAATGGTCTCCTATTTGTTAACTCAGTGTTTGCAGTGACTTTACAGGACAATGCTGCCTGAATAATGAGAACTGGCCACATGTTGGTATTCTGACTTCTTCACTGTTGCCTCTGCTGTTAGGCAGTACAGTTGGCAGGGACAGGAATTGAGTCTGCTCTCCTCATCTCCAGATGCCTGCAATTCTTGATACATATCAGGTACCAATAAATGATTTAAAGTTAGGAAAAGAATCAGACATCAACCACAGGACTCAGAGGAGTTTTGAGTAGGAGCAAGTCATCATCAATGTGGATAAAGCAGAGGGGGTTGGTAAGATAAGACGGGTGAAGTGTATGTCAGGTTGGCAGATGGAGATAATTCATGGCCCAAAGAAGGAAGGCAGAAGCCATATTGCTGTGAGTGGAGGCAAGGGCCATGGGAAGAAGGAGTGATGAGTGCAGGCTATGTTTTTGATGGTCTGGGTAAGAAGGAGAGGAAAGGGATTTGACAGAAAATGAGGAGCATTTGGCCAAGGGGTGGGTGTTTCAGGCCTAGAGAAGCTAGAGAAGTTCTCTGATAATCACCAGCCTTTGGAAACAGCCTAGAGGGAGGGAGAGGCTAAGAGTGTAGCAGAGAGAAGTGGAAAGAAGTGTGGTTTAGCGCAAAGGTTCATTCCAAACAAGAGCAAGGAGACTTCAGCCTTACAGACTAGGGAAAAGGGGGAAAAAAAAAAAAGATCAGTGAGGGTTGAATATGTTACTATTGAAGGGGGCAGGAAGTTGAAGCAGATCCTTCCTGACTAACTTGATTTTTCTTGGTGCATTAGGACGCCAGAAGCCATGCAAGAGAAGGAGCGAAAGGGCCTATGAGGACTGAGCCAGGGCTGGAAAAGAGTAAAGTTCATGCTAGACAAATCAAAGGACTGGTGGGCAGACTACACTGGACACCATGGTGTTGTGGTGGTCTTAGTGGCCAGGGTAAGAGCAGGCAAGGCAGGTAACAGTGTTGCTGATCAGTCTTGAGGTTTTGCTGGGCAGGTACTATGGAAGGACTGTGGGATAAAGAAATGGAGGAATCTGAGAGAAGGGAACTTGGGATCAACTGTGAAGTTCAGACAGGAGCAGGCCAATGATTAGGAAAGGACTGGGGATTGGGGACTTGTGGTCTCCATGAGGTAGAAGAGCAGACATGGTACGATAAGAATGTAGGACAGGGGAAGTCAGAGTTACATGGGAGGAAGCTCCGGGTGATGACAAAACCCAGAGGGTCACCGTGTACGTGGGTGGGTGGGAAATGTTATTCGATTCCTGGGGTTAAGGAAATTCAGGGATTGCAGGGCTGATTGACCAGTTGGTCTTGCATTGAATTAACTTGTCTGGAATTGATTTAGTGTGATAATTTTTGCACTGATTGTATATTGCATTGAAAAAATTTCTTACCTGCCTTAGGCAGGTAATAATGAAACAAAACACGTTTGTTTTAGTGCGGTTGTTAAGCAGTATTAATCACACATGTGTAAGACAACCATCTTTTCTTCTATACACCTTACAAATGTATTATTATTAATTATTAATAACTATTAATTTTCCTTAGTTATTTGAGGGAAACTTGAGAAGGTTTTGCACATATAGAAGTACTATGATATGAAGGAAAAAATTCTGGCTTCAGAGTTAATGTGTCTAGACTAGTAAGTGGCTCTCTCGTTGACTCGTCTTGGACTCCAGGTAAGTTTAGCACCCTGGGCTGCACTTTTAACTGCAAAATCAGGAATTTTGATATTTAAAATTACTTCTAATTCTGAAAACCAGAGCATGTTATTGCTCTTGATAAAGACCAGAAACAAAGTCTAATGCGTCACAGGCTTCAGGAGGACAACCTGAGGAGGGATGATTCAAGATGATTGACGGCTGATGTTTACGGGAGCTTGCACCCTGAACTCTGGTCTCCTCAATAAACTATAGGACTTCACCCTCTCAATTATTCCCTCCTCCCT